CCCGGCCACGGTGGGATTCGAACCTACGACCTTTGGAATACTAGCCCAATGCTCTTCCAACTGAGCTACGCGGTCAGGACGGTTCGAGTAAGTGATATTTCGGAACAGTATCTAGTTCCTTCAATACCAATGTGTTCTAGTAATATGGAAAAGGAAACGAAAACTTTGTACGTACATGTAAACTTCTTACTGAAAAGTGGAATCCAGGTAATTTATCCCATGCATGCATGTATAGTATATAAGGTACAATGGTTGAAGATTTAACAGTATTTTTCAAGTAGTCGAATCCCTATCTATATATATCCACAGTTTTATAGTTTTGGGATAAATATCAACTAGTCATTTATGCGGTATTAATAGTTCCCCACAATTTGTGTTATTTCAAATTTTATGTGAGTATTTAGTTATATTACAATGCTTCTGTACCCTGAAGCGTATTGGAAACATAACATACAATCAACAGCAACTCACTAGAGTATTAACACCTCTCTTCACTCTTTCATCGGACGCTGTTTCACGAAGAACGTTGCAGGCGCCAAAATGCCCTGTGAGAACGAGCACGAAGCCAAACAACACGAAACTGACGGACAACATATTAATATTGTGAACCTTCTTCTGCGGCAACTGAAATGTTACCTTGATCACTTTCAGTGGAACTATATTTATAGGGGAAAATACGGGGGAAATAAGACACAGGGGAAATACCGGAGTTTAAACTGGAGAAAAACTTACAATTACGTTTATAATTAACATTGCCGCATGACAATACAGGTCCAATATAAGTGACATGTGCATGTATAGTGTAAGTAGTTGTCTCAAATTAAGCAGGGGAAATAAGGCAGGGGAAATTGAGGTTAGAGAGAAAAACAATCAATTATTTGTCAATTGAAAGACAGCGAGCTCGAGATCACAAGTGCCGAACTCCGGCCATGAAGTTATTTATATTATTAGTGCATGTGGAAAGAGAAAGACACTTAGACTTAGTAGACTTGTATATTATCGCATACATTGAGAATGAATTTATAAATTTGTGAATTTATTAAATTAGTTATCAGTTTTACAGTGACAACAGGGGAAAGAAACTATACAAAGCCCCAACTGACATCAAACTACTGATCAGTGATGGTTAAAAAGCATGATAAAATATCTATAAATTAGAAAGATATATTATACAGTATTTAGTCTAGAATTAGTAAGTACGTTTTTCGTCAGCCGGAAGAGTATAAAGGTCCAGACACACCAGACGCGATCAATTCGACAACGCCACGCGATTTTTCGATTTTCACTGACCGATAACTTTGATCCTAGTTTAACTGACAATTTTCCAAATATTTAGAAGCGCTATAACATTTTGAGTTATTATTGGTCTACATATCTTTCAAAATTTGCTCTCATTGGCTGTTTTATATTAACTTTCAAAAACTAAAAAATCGCGTCGCGTAGTAACGTTGTCGAATCGCGTCCGGGGTGTCTGAACCTTTATCACCGTGTAATAGTCTGAGATAGCTCTTTAAAAGTCGTTATAAGGTTGGTTGAACTTTTGATATCTAATGGTAGCGAGTTCCAGGTGGAAACGACATGTTGGAAATAAGAGCATTTAAGGTAATTTTGAGTTGCTCGCTGTGTCTTGCAATTTTGGGAGGAAGAGCACTGTTGAATGGAGGAATGATCTAGAACTATTAAACCTATACAATTACTATTATATATGTTGCAGAGATATTCACAATTAAGTATATAAACCAATTATAAAATGACTTTCAAAAATCATTAATAATTCATGACGAAAACACAAAGAAAAATCATAAGCGCGTGTCGTATCTTTATATGTAATAGAGATTTCCTTGATTTACATCATAAACTTTATTTAAACTTATTTTTTGTATAAACGTATTTTTTGAAAATTACTTCGTCAATGAACTTACTATAGATCGATCGTTTTTGAAGCAATTTAAAACATTCGTAGTGCGTGTTTTATCAGACCTAAACATAGCTCGGCTAAATTCCTTCGCCTCGTATCTTTATATATCTGATAAAACAATGCTGCTCATGTTTTAAATAGTACATAATATACATCGCGTAGTTTTTAAAAGAGTGTGGATGGATAAAACCAATTGTAAAAGTTGAGATTATGATCGATCGCGTTGAGTTTATATCAACTAGAGATGGAAACAAAGATCTTTTTTACTATATATATACTTCCGTTCTACAAAAGAATGGTGCGCGATTACTATAAACTTTGCAATATTACTAAATAGGTCCAATTGATTCTATGAAAGGATTCCAATTTCCACGACAAGTTTTATTTGCTAACTTAGAAGTTACGTAGAAGTTAGAATAAATCTTCTATGCATGATATTCCCTACATATTTTCTACTAACGCTGACCAACTGGATCCAAGTGCTCATGGTTACTTTGTCATATACAACCTAATGTTGTACCTCGTCATTTTTTTCTCGGATACTGCTGATATACTTGTTCAAGTTTTGAACAAGTCGCATGACGCATATAAATTGAAATTGAACGTGCAACCATGAAGATAAATAATATTTAATGCAATTAAGACAAAGGATTTTTGCAGGTGAAGTACAGTTCAACATCAAACAAAGATCTTCTAGATCTTTTTTTAGCTTTGACGTTTGTCAGACTTCCAGATTCATTATATCTTGGCAGACTATATATATATATATATATATATATATATATATATCTTAAGTCTGCACACACGCCGAAAACTAGTCACTGAGTCATTGAAAACTTTGTTCCTCGGAATGTAACTTGATATAAAGATATACGCGTTCTGCAATGATGAAACGTGCCTCTGAGGACAAGGAAACAACTCGTTCCTATATTATTATTATGTTTGTTGTTGTTAATTATTAAAGGGGCCGCAGTAATTGGCTTGCGCTGTTGCGGATTCCCTGCCATAAAATGTTTATATTTGTACCAAGCCAGGGCCAAGCTATTAAAATTGAAATTGAACGTGCTGCCATGAACGATAAATAATATTTAATGAAATTAAGACAAAGGATTTTTACAGTTCAACATCAAACAAAGACCTTCTAGGTCTTTTTTTTAGCTTTGAAGTTTGTCAGATTTCCAGATTCATCATATCTTGGCAGACTATATATATTTTGAGTACGCACTCCGAAAACTTAGGAAACGGAAGTATAGTTATAAGCCTGAAGCATCAGCTATGGTTGACATTTTAAAAAAGTATTTCATACGACATTAAGTTAATACGGTGCTTACACATTTTGCTATATCTTTCGATATGGCCTTTTCCCACCGTGCCCCTTAATTGACATTTCCGTTTTCCGGTCGCTGAAAATTTGACAATATTTATAAAAGTCGGTACGCCTACTGACACTACAAAACTCCGATTTACGCTATTTCGTTATATGTTGTAAAACGCATATCGATCTTGACTTTGCGTGGAGTTAATTGTGTTTTGTCAACGTTTTAATGTAAAATAAATCTTTCGAATACAGCCTAAAACTCGCTTTCCCAACTATAAGACAAAAATGGCAATCTCAAAAGTTAGAAGCAGTGAAGATACTAACATACCACTACTGAAAGTTTAGCCTGTATGCATGTTAAAAGTATCTTTGAAAAAAGTTTGCGGTATTTACTAGTATATTGTGCGACAGCCCTTGAAACATTGCCAAATTACGAAATTTACATTGTATTTTGACATTTCCCTGTTATATGTGATAAAAACATTTTGCACCTAAGCACATGTTATAGAAATATACATACATCCCAACAAATGTTTGTTTGACCATTGCAATGTTGTTAAGACAAAATCTGTAATTGAACTTGTTGGTAAAATGTGGTAAATAGGCGAAAATATAGCATTTTTTTGAGGGTACCTAAATATCGAGTCAGGATTCGAACCAGGACTCGAGCCAGGACTCGAGCCAGGACTCGAGCCAGGACTCGAGCCAGGACTCGAGCCAGGACTCGAGCTAGGACTCGAGCCAGGAATCGATTCAGGACTCGAGCCAAAAATGACGTCAAGTGATTTTGATGGATGAAAATTTACCAACAGCGTTCTCACTTTTAAGGAACTTTCTTTAAATTTAGACTATTCGTTCACCAACAATGCGAAATGTTTAAGGAAATTTAACTGAATCGGAGGAATTGTTTATCGATAACCTAAGGAATGTTTGGCAAATGGGAAGTGAGAGAACTTGTTTACCAAATCAATTTCCCGCCTTTTCCCGCCAGATTCGATAAAAGAAACTAAAGAACGAAAGTTGATATTTGGTATATTTGTACATACAGAGCTGTCAATCTCATCTGACTTTGGCTATTAAGGGGCCGATTACATGGAGCATTTTCAACCCCGGGGTTGAACTCAGCCCTGTTAACCGGGTTGAAATTTTTTGCGATTACATGGACGATTTCAACCCCGGGGTTAAAACGTTATACTATACGTTCTCGGCATCGATTCGCGGAAGTAAAAAGCCTTTATTTTGTTTTCTTGTAATAAATAGTCACTACCACGCATGCTCGAATAATTCATGATAATTTCAGCCCTGGGTTGAAACGATTACATGACAAAATTTTCAACCCAGGGCTGAGTTCAACCCCGGGGTTGAAATTTCAACCCTGCTAGCTGAAGCAAGATTGAAATTTCAACCCTGGGGTTGAACTCAGGCCTGGGTTGAAAATTTTGTCATGTATTTTAAATCGCGCGTTTGATTTTGATAGAGTTTTGTATTACAGACAGGGCTGAAATTTCAACACGGTAAACAGGGCTGAGTACAACACCCGGGGTTGAGAATGCTCCATGTAATCGGCCCCCAACTGTAACGGTTATTAGCGTCGGAAGACAGTGAATGAAACAATAGTCAATACCATTGTTGTTGTTTGTTTTTGATATATTGCACAAATATCGATATCCAAAAAAGGGAAATATCCGGCCAGTATTTTATCGAACTAAAACAGTTGGTATTGCCCATCACTAACAGTCTCTCGCTCTTTACAAAACAGATACTTGTTGCCCTCATTGCCGCTTAGCATTTGTCAAAGAGTAGGATAATTCTCCCCGCCTTATTTTCCTGTAATAGACGCCAATATCACCAAACTGTATTATAGAAGAGCCAGACACGCTGGCTAACTGTATTACCAAATACACCCTTTCGATAATTACACATACTTTTTGGTCTTGGAACCTCGCTGTCATTGCTAAATTACACAAGGTGATTAGCGTAATTATTGAAAGGTTGTAGTAGCTAGCCTGCGTAACGTGTCTTATGAAACAAAACCATTGGGTAATGGCAATTCCCCGTATTTTCGCATTTTTTTATCGAGTCCTGACTCGAGTCCTGGCTCGAGTCCTGACTCGAGTCCTGGCTCGAGTCCTGGCTCGAATCCTGACTCGAGCAATAGTATATCTCCATTTTTTTATTTTTTGTCTTAAGGCGGAGCTAATCAGGTCTATTTTAAATGTGAACTTTTAGAATATGGGCGATAGTTTTACTTTTCATTTAACCAAATTTCTCAGCCATTTCGTGAAAAAATTTGTGCTAAACAGAAAGTATTTTTAATTCTAAGTCTGGTGAAAAAGTCATTCCGTTATTGCGTTTATATTCTGAGCAGAAATCGAGAAAAACAACTTTGTGATTAACCCATTAAGCGCCAGCGCTCTCCCCTTGACGAGTAAAATCGTCTAGCGTTAGACAGAGTAAAATACTAAAGTAGGGTGCATCAGGGTGCAATGCAACTCAATGGGTTAAGCAATAAAGTCACAAAAGAAGCCATTTTGAAAGCGTGTGCGTACAAGAAATACTGCAACACTGTTAGTGACACTAGTAACGTGAACAGGTCGAAAACAGTTTTATTTCTGAATTTTAATTGAACTGATATTTGGATATTTTGTTTTATTCCATTAAAACTTATACAAAAACAATTATTCGCCTCAGGCTCAGTGGTTACAGTGAATATAATCTCTTCGCCTTCGGCGAATAATTGCTGCCGAGCGTCAGCGAGGCAGCACACTATTCTTGACACGCTTGGGTTTCCCCAGAGTCCTTTCGACCCAGTCTTTCGCGCGACCTAAGTATTGTCGAGATCTCGACTTGTTTTGTGTTCAATTCAAAATTAAGACCGTTCTGACAAGTCTGGCTGTGTTAATGGAAAGCGCCCTTAGTTCCCAAGATTTTACGAGCTTTTTAATATAGATGCAAACGATCTACAACATTTAGAATAATTCAGGAAAAGATGGTTTTATTTCTTTCTGTTGACATACATGAAGGCGTTGAACTTTTTTGTATTCGATATAGGGATATTTCAGCCCACTAATCGATTGGTCAATGTCCTAATACAAGGAGTCAATTCAGTCAAAGTGTACTAATACCTTTAGCTTTGTATATGTTTATGTAGCGGTTTGTCAAGGCGATAAA